ATCTTTGTTATTAAACTATGTATAACTTTTGTTATTCTGTCTTTTTTGTTAGTATCTTGAGTCTTGTTTTCTAGTCTAGTTATCAAGTTTTTCTAAGTTTTATTTTTTGAAAATTTTGGTTAAAGAATCTACAGAAAAGAATTTAATCTTAATATCTGTAAATTTGGAATTTTAATATTTTTAAAAAGTTTACTTAGTATTATAAAAAATTCCAAGACAATATTAGTTTTTGCAAAAATAAAAAAGATAGTTAAAACAAGACTAGTATAACTAGTAAGAGAATAAGCAATAGTTATAAATAAGAAAAAGTTTAAACAACCAGATAGTCTATTGAAAATAAGTCTTATATTTGTAATACTAAAACCAGAACTGAAAAAATAGAGATTCATTATAGATTTGTAAAAGTTAAATAAAATATTATCTAAAAAATCTTTTCACTTTGAAGGATTAAAAATCTTTATTCAGACAATAGAAAGAAATTAGTAAGTCATAATATTAGATTTTAAGAATGAATATCATCATTTTCTAATAACAGAGAATATGCAAAGATTACTAAGATTTAGGTTTAAGAAAAGATAGGTTCATTATCAGATATTATTATTTTTGTCTAAATCAAGCAGTTTGGGTTTTTTCAAAAGTAATATAAGTATTAATTAGATATTAGTAGTCAATTGGTATTTTTTGTAAGAATTATGTAGATAATATTTAGATTGCCTATTCAAATATGAAACTTTAAAGTATTAAAGAGATTATATAAGTAAACCAGATTTAAAGGCAAAGAATTAATCTTAGTAAAAAAAAAAAGCTGAAAACTAATTCAAAAACCCAAATTTTATGATCTAATTTTAGATACAATATAAGTATTAATAATAATACTTAATAAAAAAATAAAAACAACAAACAAGCACTAAAGTATTTAGTAATGCAAAAGGAAATTACAACATAATTCTTAGTTTTAGTAATAAGCATATTAATAAGTTTAAGCAGAGTCTTTACTCTAGCAAAAATGTACTATTTGAAGTTTTATAGCTTAATTGATATAATATATTACAAATCTTAAGAATAAGATTAAAAAATAAAATTATTAATAAAAGCAAAGAAGAATGCAATTTGGTAACTGTTTCAAAACTTAGAAAAGAAAAATGATTGCCTAGTATAAAAACCTTTATATATACTTATATTATTTATAAACATTTTAATGACTAGTTAATTGGCAATACTCTTTGTATTTAGAGTATTTGAAAACTGAACATGAAGGTATTAGCATATGAATATAACAAAACTAGAGTTTAAAACAACATAGTTGGGTCTATAATTATTTAAAAAAAAACTTGTTTATTGTTAGATTACAGTATTCATAAATATAAGTTGCAAGAAAGACAATAAAACTAGAGAAAAAAACACTATAGCAAAAAGAATACATAAAAAAAATTTAAACCTTTGCAATGAAATAGATATTTGAATATACAAATTTTATTGAATACCAAGTATGAAAAATCTAGTAAATAAACTTATAAAATACTTAGATAAGTTAAATTATAACTTAAAAAAAAAGGTTTTTAAACTATTAGATCAGATATAAGGTTTATATACTATAGACCAAATGACAAGCAAATATTCAATTTATTTTACAAGATTTATTTTATAATAATATTGTCTAACTATAGAAGCTATTAATTATTTTATATAATATTTGAAAAAAGAATTAAATTATGTTTATACATCTTTAGAACAGTTGAATCAAGTGTTTTATTATATAATAGAATATTAAACAAAACAACAATCATTGTACTAATTTATATTTTAGTACCTTGATGACTAATTATATTGCATTATTTATATCAAAAAATGCTACTTTCCAATTCAGAAGAGATCTTTTTTCAAGTTTAAATAATTAAGTTATTAAAAAACCAAAATTAGAAATTTATAACAATATAAATCATATTCTAAATAATTATTTAATATAAATACATAATATTCTGTTACTAAAATTATTATATGATTGTAAATTAAAAATGGTTTGAAAAGATTTTATTAATTTTTGTAGTATATATAAGTCAGTTGCCTTATTAATATTTTAAAAAAGTTTACTAGTATATCTAATTTGATTAGATATACATAGTAGAAATTTAAAACCTTTATTAGTATTAATATTAATATCAAACTAGTACAATGTACAAGACTTACTAGATCTTATAAAAAATTATAAAGTAAAAAAACTAATAAAATTATTAATTAAGTTAGCTGTAAATAATAAGAAAACCACATAACCATACTATATAATCTATTAACAATTAAAATATTGAAAAATTATATAAATAAGCTATCAATAATAATAAATTATAAAATATGAGCATAGAATTGTATACTAGTAGCAATTAACTTATACATAATATATAAGACAAATAAACTAATTGCCTTTTTTTAAGTAATTTTAAAAATGAAATTGATCTTTTATAAATTCACATAAACTGATTCAAAATAGATCAAAAAGATAAGAAAAAATTTATTTCAATAGAATTTACAAACTTTAGAACTTATTTAGTTAAATTATAGAAACAATATTTAAATATTAAAAAAAAGTTTGAAAAGTATACATTTTTATCAATATAGAATGAAAGGTTAACAGTAGGTGTTATTAGTTTAATTATTAAATGAATTGCAAATTATGTGAAATTGAAAGAATAATATTCAAGTCACAGTTTATATATAGGTGGTATAACAGCAATAATGAAGGTAAAACTGTCATTACTACAAATAATGCCAATAAAAGACTGAGTTTCAAAAGTAGTATTACTGTATTTAAGAACAATTATTATAATACAAATTAATACATTAGCAAAATAAGGTTTTATATATTTATTATATCATAATGCTCTTCAAATTTCTATAGTTTTTTATATATTATATCTTTGCATTAATTAAATTGAAAATTTTAATATTAAATATAGTATAGTTGTAATAGTAATCTAAGTAAAAATAATATCAACTGTAACATAAGCATAAGAGGAATATGGGTTGCTGTTAATTGAAATCAGGCAGATTGACATTTTAAAAAAAATCAATACCTTATCTTTCACAGTTCATATCTTAATGAATTTAAAGTCTAGTTTAATTATTTAATATTCAAAAGAAAACTTGAGATCTAAGCTTTCTTTTGGTTATTAAATAATTAAATTGACACCAAAATTCATCAAGATATGGCTGCAAAAGATAAGGTATTGATTTTTTTTAAAATGTCAATTTGCTTGATTTCTATTGATGGCAGCCTATATTAATATAAGGATTACCTGACCTTATGATTGTTATGAGGTCATTGATTTAGTGAGTCAAATAAAAATTGCATAAATTATTAGGTCATTGTCTAGTAAGTCAAATGAAAATTACATGAATTATTAGGTTATTGATTAGCAAGTCTAATGATAAGTATAAATAAACCACAAATCCAAGAACAAAATTTATACTTTTCTTTTAAAGTTGCCTAAAACCTTATTTTCTGGCTAATTGAAAGGTTCTTCCCTCCCACCCCTTCCTCAAATAAAAAGAAATAAGAAATTAACAAGGAAAGTCTTGCATTTACAGCATATTGATACTATTTAACACTGTAAAATCACATTGAAACTGGGTAATTAAAAGAAATAGGCAGTTATACATCCCACAAAACAGGAATGGCTGTACATTCCCTGCACTATTCGCGCATTAACAGCTATATACACCCCATACTGTTTGAATAAATTAGATTGAACAGCTGTGAACACCTCACACTGTTGCGACTAAATTAGTAGGAACAGCTGTGTACACCCAACACTGTTCTTAAATAGGCTGGACGACTGTGTTCAACCCATGCTGTGTAAATCTAATAAGAAAGATTAGAGATAAATTTCGAATGTGTTAAAGTAACCACTTTATTAGCAGCAAAGGAGCGGCACTATTCCAATAGTTTTCTGCATATTGTATCTTTGCATTAATTGAATTGAGAAATTTAATATTGAATATGGTATAGTTTGCAATGTTAATCCGAGCGAAAATAATTTGACACAAAAATGAATCATTCTATTAGTATTTCCAGTTTGGCTGATTTTTGCTAAATTGAAACTTTGTACGTATTATTCAGGAAGGAATGCGGTCTCACTAATAAGACATAGATAACGGATTAGTACATAGATATTACAGCTACATGTACTTGGTAAGTTACCGTTTTATAATTACCTTATGATTTAACTGATTCGAAAGTTAGTTAAAAAAAAAACCTGAAATCATGACCATAGTACCTGAAAAGCCTTAAAATTACAAGACTTTGAAATTTCGAATGGCATGTAATGCAAAACGAAAAATCAACTTTGTGTGGCCTTTAATATGTTTTTTTTGTTTAAATCTTGGTTTAGTAAAAAGATTAACTCGTTATTAATAGATATAATTATAGTCAAATCTTAGCTATATTCCCACTAAGTTACATCCCCACCATTTAGTAGAATAAATATTTTATATTTATTAATATTGTCTCAGTTATTCTATCTAAATAATATATCCAAAAACTCTCCAAACAAAAGGAGTGATATAACTAAGTTTTGATTGTATATATTTATTATCAGTAATTAGCTTTAAACTTATATATATATGAGCTTGTTGCTGTAAGAAGGAACGAAATTGACAAAAAAAAAGATATTCGGAAAATCGGTTGTTATAAATTTTATAATAAATCATAAGAAAATGCAAACTTTAAAGAGCTATACTGCAAAATTTTATTAATACAACTACTTTTATGTCTTAAGTAAAAAATAATCCTAGACTTATTTTAAATTGATTTATGTAAAAAAATTGTCATTTTCGTCTCTCTAGCCATATATATAATTATAAAAATTTCAAATATTATCAATTTAGGCATTTTATTTAGTATTGTCAGGTAAGTATAATCATAATACTGTAAAATAAAATATTTGTGTTATAAAGTTCTATTTATAATAAAAAATAAAAATTGTTATATTAGTTTGAAAAATAATTTAATAATCAACTTTTGAAACCCATAAATCAATACCAGGAATAGGTTTAGCTAAATCAGAAAATTTCTTTTCGAAAGTAAAACCCTCAACTAATCTAAACTCAAAATTTCTAATAATTATAGATAACATTGATTTAAATTCCAATTGTGCCATTTTCATTCCTATACAATTGGTTGGTCCAGCACCAAAAGGTAAGTAATTATTATTCGATACTTTTGATTTTATTTCTGGATCAAGCCACCGAGATGGGTTAAAGAATTCAGCATCATCACCCCAAACTAAAGGATCACGATGGATTGCGTAGATAGGAATTACCAAAGGAGTTTTCTAAAGAAAATTTTAAAGTTATATACTATGTATTATCAAATAAGTTAATGTATGGTTATTTAAGAAAATACCTTTGGGATAACATAGCCGTCCATAATTTCATCTTTTACATTATAACGTCGAAGTGCAGGCACTTTCAATTATAAATAAATAAAGATAAATAAGAAATTAAATAAATAAAATAAAATGTAAAGATATATTTGAACTATACCAGGTGGTGCGATTCTTAAAGTTTCTTTAAGAGTACATTCTAAATATTTCAAATGTTCAATTTCATCAAAAGTTGGAAAATGATCACGATCAGTAAATACATCAAGTACTTCTTTACGAAGACGATCCTGAATTTCAGGATTTCTTGCAAGAAAGTATAGTGCCCAAGCTAGTGCAGTGCTAGTTGTTTCATGCCCAGCAGAGAGGAATGTCATAACCTTGAAAATTTAATAAATTTATAATTTAAATAAAATTTAAGTAAAATTATATTTACCGTATTATATTGTAAATAAGCACCATCCCCTCTACTTCATTTTTTAATTGTCATTAGTGGAAATCACAATGAGATATTTAGCAAAGTTATTTCCGCTAATCTGACATTTAAAAAATGGGATGGAGGGGACAGGGCTTATTTACGGTAGAATACGGTAAAATGATATATATATGTACATATATTAATTTAAATAAATTTTTTACCTGTCCAAGTAATTCATCATGTGTTAATTGCTCATCAACAGGCAATTTTTCATTTGCTTTTATCAATAAAGACAATAAATTTTTTCTTTGAACAGGTGTATTTTTTTGTTCAGTAACCAGTCTGTTGGAAATATTTTTGACAATTTTAATTGAATCAATAAATTGAATCTTATAAGGGTTTGGAAGTTTTCTTATGAAAGGAAAGAGATCGAGAAAAGCCAAGTATAAAAGTGGTGGATTAACATTAATTAATGAATTATATGCTTGATCTAATTCCGACCCTGAAGTAGTAGAATTGAATTCATAATCAAATCCTATTAAAATAATGTAATTATGATTACGATTAGAAACGCCATTGATAAAACCTAACATGTAGAATGAATACAGATTAATGGCTACCAATAAGACCAATCACATCTAAAGTTATCTCTGAAATTACTGTAGTAATGGTAATTCTTTGCTCTTTCCCATTATCAATTTGTTTCATCCAGATGTCTTTCAATTTATGGCCAGCCTGAACGAACATTGGAAACATTTCCTTAAAGATAAGAAAACTAAATAATTAAAATATATGTATTAATTTTTTTTAACGGATCGTAATGTAAAAGAATACCTTGATATTGGCAAAAGCAAATAAAGGATTCATCATTTTTCTTTGTCGTTTATGGGAATCCCCTTTAGCAAGTATAATGCCATCACCTAGAACTTCCTTGACCAAAGCTCTGATGAAAATAAACCTTGGATAATCATATGAATGATTTACCAGTACCTGCTGGATAAGTTTTGGATCAGAAATTAATATATTAGGCTTGTTCAATAGGACATGAAACCGAACTATTCCACCATATTGTTTGCCTAATCGAGCCAAAGCTTCACTTAGATCTTTATTTAAAAAAGAGGCATAATGTCCAAGAATAAAATTATTAACAGGTGGACCAGGAATTTTACGTAATGGTGATAAATACAATGGATATATATAACATTTGTACAAAAAGTAGCTAACAGACGCAACGAATGCAACTAAATAGTAATTCATTTGAGTGTGGAAGCCAAGAGAAAGATATATAATTTTTGATTCATATAGGGATCATACCATTTTATCCCATCATTTTATATTAGATTATAACGTTAATGCTGTAATAATAGCCTGAAAATTTTGGATAAATATTACACCGAGATTTACTATTTGAGTGCCACCAAAAGAAAGCCTGTAAATAGAATTTGTGGGTTTTCTGATTTGTACAGTCCTCTGGATAATCCAACAATAAACTAACTTATAAGTCTATCCAAAATGGTAATAAAGTTAATTTTGAGTAACATTGATTAAAGCAAGTCATTAGGGTTTTCAAAAAGTTCCATCGACACCTATAAAATATATCTGATGATTGATTCAAGATACTTACTATAATCTTTTCAGCTTTACCTAAAAAAATTGACCTGCTTATGAAGTTTACTTTAAAATGAGGCTTGTATATCTCATCACTCATTTTAAAACATGGGTTTTCATATTCATTTGGCCTGTTTATTGATCGGCATATATACAGGTACACTTATGTAGTATATAATGACAGTAGTTCAAGTGAAATCGGGTTTATGTAATGAGTGTTAAGGTTAGTAAGAGATTGGCGAAAGTAACTTTTGACAGACTACATACTTGTATGCGAATAGTAATAAGAGACTTTTACAATAAAGACTTTTATGTAATAGTCATCTCCGGTGGACCCAAACAGCCTTAATTTATAATAAAATATCTTTATTATTCAGAGATTTGCTATTTATCACCACTGGTGATCATCACCAGTGTATAATGTCCGAAACGGAGCGAGGACACTTTAGAGTGTCCAGACTCGTGCGATTACATTTTAGGCACATATAATGTACAACAAAATTATCTTTCTTGATGTAGCTAGTGCGATATTCGTGCAAATGACAATAATAATCAATATCAGCATAATAAAAGTTAATGCAAATTATATGTGCCTTGTTTAATCTAAATCCGATATGTGATAATTAAACAAACGTGATGTGGTGTAGTAACTTTTCTTAATATTAGATTCATTACCTATTGCTTTTGTTCATTAATTGTAATGACTTCACAATGTTGTTCTTAATCAAAATACATGTGAAAAAAATCCTTACAAGTCATATCGGACTTGTTAAAAACAAAGTTAAACTTAGTTACACGATTTCTTCTAGTACACTGCTTCACCTTCAGCTATACAATATTCATAACCTATAGGACATTCAACTACAACATCATATTACAAACTTTATTAAAAGATTCAATTCTCCTGATCTTTTAGAAATAAGCACTTATATTAGGATTCAATAACTTCAGAACAATTTGTGATTATCTACTAGTATTCTGATACATGATAATCTTATTATTGATAGGTCTAACAAACACATTATTAACTTCAAAATCATTCAATTCTTTAAATATCTTGATATAATATTTATATCTAATTCACTATATAATATTTTATACACTATTCAAAAAGGGTCTACTTTGCTTGAGTCAATACTTTTATCATATACTAAATATTCAATATTCAAAAAACAACTTAGATATCATTCTATTCTTTATTTAGACCAACTTAGTATATTTAACAACTCATGTCTTTTAAAATGAAAACATATAGACCTAGTGAAGTGATTAGGTTATCAACCCCCAAGTGAAAGATCCAGAGTTCAAATCCCAGTGTTGATAAAAAATTTGAAAATTCTCTCTATATTATAGTTAATTGTCTCTTGTAATTGGTTGGGATAAGACATCTGTAATCTATATCACACCAGTATGACTGGCAGATTACATATTATTTGTGTAACAGTTACATGACATTGTTCTTTGGGACAAGGTCTGTGGTTACATGAAGGAATACAAACTGGTACTGGGTGGTGCAAACCTACAATAAGTCCTTGTGGCCATGTAAATCATAGGAACCAATAGAAGAAAAATGGAAGCCTATTTGGAAGATCTGAACAGAAAGATAACCTGAGTTTTCAACAGTGCTACTATAAAGACTAGATTTATGAAATGGAGCTAGAACTTGTGAAACTAGACAAATGTGCTGGTCTTTAAGGAGAAATCGGATGAACCAACCAGGCTGCCAGAATTTTCAGGTTCCAGAGGAAAAGGGTACATGTAAGCAAACATGTAAACCAGAGGTACAGTCTCATCCTACCTTTCTAGACTATCTGGAATAGCAGCTTGGTAGAACTTGAATTGAATACCAAAGTAGTAAGGATATGTTATGAAGTAAGTACCAGGGTTGGAGTAAACTCTATAAGGGCATAGCAGTTTAATGGTACACTCTGACTGCCAGTATTGGTCTTGGTCATAGCGATACCATATTAGCTGTAAAAATGGGATACAGAAGATTCTAGAAGATTTAGTATAAGGTCAAAGGTTCCAAAGAACTGCTTTAACGACTTAGTGGCCATGACATATTTTCACTGGTATTGGCCAGGGTTATTGGTAGTTAGAAGTAGGTGGGTGGATATGAAAACAGAGTGGTTAAATAGAGAATCTACAAGTGGGTTCCAGGTATGGCAGCTAGTGTAGAACCTTCAGACAGACTACTTAAATTAGATAATGACTAAAATTGTATGAATGGCTAGTTGTACACTTTCTTCATGATTGCCCCTTATGGTTGTAAAGCAATTATTAGCCAAATATACTATCAATAAAATCCTGGATCACAAGTACTCATCTTAATATTTAAAAAAAAAAAAAAATGAAAATATATATCTTTACATATAAACAAATTTCTAAAAACAAACTACTATTTTGGTTTAGTGATCTAGAAGACCAAACTACAAGTTATTTATATAATTATATTCTTTATCAATATTTATATCTACTAGTACTAATTACTATAGTTATTTAACTGAATACTTTTCTTTATGAAAAAACTATGACTCATTATAATATTTAATGATCAAATTATTATTAGAAAAGCCAAAAGACAATCTTCTTTTTCAGGAACCATTTTTATTATTTATTGGCAATGATATATAGAATAGCAATTTATTCACTTATATCTATTTCTATCTATTTAATTATAAGCATGTCTAGGTTGCTCTCTTAACTTTTATACAATTATTAATAAATATATAATTAATATTTCTATTAACCTCTCTTTCAAATTTTTTGATCAAATTAATACATATAACAAATCTTTTAATTTTAATACCAATTACCTTGATCATATATATTCTATTATAATTCAACATCTTATTTAAATCTCTAATCTCTCTAATATCAATATTATAACAAATCTAATTTTAATTATATTTGAATCTGTGACTTTAATAAACAATTTTAAACAAATTACCAACTATAATATACAATTATCAGAACTTCATTTTTATATATATGACTCTGTTATTAACTTGAATACTTCACAATACTCTATAGGTATCAGATGGATCTAAATTTTAAATAACAATATACTGTATATATTTCAAGTCCAAACAAGATACTAACTAGTCTTGTTCATTTAAGTCTGAGTTTATTACTATTTTATTAGCTCTTAACTTTGTCAAATTATACAATATTTATATTATTTTTCACAAAGTCACTGCTTATTAGAATGATCAATATAATAACCTTGCAAACCAATTTGTATGCAATTACTACAACTTGTTATATTTTATCTTTATGTCTTATAATATCTACAATCACATATATATTTTAAATTTTGAAAATTTTTCTTTTAAATTACTTACTCATCACAGTATTTATATAATATGTTATACATATATTTATGTACTATGAATCACACAAAATCACTTTTAAAAATAGCACAAAATTCTTAACTAAGTTAATTAGCAAGTTATTTGACTATATATTAACAATAATCAAAAAATCTTAAACTTTTTATATAGTTTTCAGTTTTCTATTCTTAAATCCTTTAGAATTAAAATTCTACTAGATGTTCTTTCTACTCTATATATTTTATACAAACAAAACCACTTATACTCATCTATATCTTATCAATATTATCAAATCAGTTTCCACCTTCATTGGACAACTTGCTTATTTAATCAATTGCTATACAGTCTTATTGATATTTCATTACAACATATTTTAAATACTAAAACACTTGACACTACTTCAAATACTATAATTAATTTATATAACCAAATTAAGCTGTCAAGTAGTATATTTATTCATAGTATATCAGACTTAACTTCAGTTTTCTTAACTCTAACTGGTCTAATACCAAATGAACTTATCAATATTATTACAAGTTTGTCATCTAAAAAAGTAGTTACAACACTTATTATCAAGTTTTTACTACATCTTAACCAACAAATCTATCATAAAATCTGGATTCTATACTGTATCTTAAGATCTACAACTCAATCTTCTAAATACTATACATCTTCAAATGCTGTCTTACCTCTATCATATTCTCTTTTACTCTATTTTTTAGTTTAAAAATAAACTCTGATATATTTAATAAATTAAGTATCAAACCAATCCTCTATACATAATTATTAACACTCAAATTTAGGTGAGTCTTGGCCATTTCAGTTGGTTTAGATTACAGATAAATTAGTCTAAGCTTCTAATCTTTTGTACTTTATATAAAATCTCAATTAAATATTCAATAAAGATAGAGGCATAGCCTTATCATTAATATTAAAAAAAAAAAATTATATAAAATCTAAACTGTATTGTAAATTCAGAGCTGGATAAATTCGAAAATACAAAATACTATTTATTTAAAAAAGATCTAATTATAAATTAGTTAATAGGTCAAGATTTTAAAGACTTTTTTAATTAAAAACCCAAAAGTAATAAATTTTTATAGACAAATAGATAATCTAGCATAAGAATTAATCAAATTTGGATAACAAAGATGCTGGCAAATAGTTTTAGTAATGCAGAAATTCAAGATATGTCTAGCAATACAAATAGTAACTATAGTTAATAGTTGTAATAATAGAGTTAAATTATATAGTAGCTCTTGTACAAAGTGCCAAAACTTAAGAAGTTTAAGCAATATTAA